GCCTGCGACTGATTGATCCTGCCGGGTGGTTTCTCTGGGATTTTGGGTAATGAAACAAGAGAGACCAGGCAGGATGCATCTTAAAGAAAGTGACAAAAACAGTTGAGTGACTTTCAGATGTGCTGGTGTGCTGCTCAGAAGGGGCAGGCAGCACCTGAGCAGCCCCCTCACGATGCTCCCAGTGACAGAGGGTCAGTCCAGCCTCAACTCCGGCCATGGGGAGCTGGATGGGAGCAAGTACCTTCCTGCTCAAGCCATGTGCTCCTCGGGGTCCTGCACCCCGGGCCCAGACGCATCTTGCAGCCTCAGCATGGGACAGCCTGGGGAATGGGGCAACTAGAAAAGTCAATGGAGGAGCAGACAGGGAAGCACTCAGGGCCTGGAGGTACCACCATCCACAACTCCTGCCCAGAGCTGCCTCTGTCCCCACATGCCCCTGCTGGCCGGGCAGCTCCATGCTCCAGCGCAGCCCGGGATGTGCTGCCTGGCAGATCCACAGCCCACACCTCCAGCTGGCGCTGTCCAGCTGCTCCGAGCAAGCCAGAGCCAACAGCCGAGCTGGAAGGGGGCAAGCAGGGGGGCCTGCAGAGTGCTCAGTGTCCAAATCCAGCCCTGATTCACACAAATAATACAGATCCTTCCCTAACAACTCAGCTTCTGAAAAAAAAAAAATAAATAAAAACAAACCTTACCTCAGATCTGGAGCAAGCAGCTGGAGGAGGCCTTCTCTGAAGTAGGCTTGGTTTCATCTAACACAGGGTGCCCATGAACAGCAGGTACCTAAAACAGACAGCAGCAGAGTCTTTAATAGAAAAATAAAATTCTGTGAGCTCTAGAAAAATCAACAGACACAATGCATTCCACTTCCACAGGCATACAAAAGCAGCGGTGCCCTGACAGCACCACATGCAGGCACCCTTACGTTGCAGCGGCCCCAGCGCAGGCACCAAAAGGTGGGCATCATTTTCAGAGAAGATGCCTCACGCTTCTTCAGCAGGCCGGGTTAGGCAGCAGTGTTGGCGAGTGATTTCAAAGCCAGCAGGCTGAGACTTTCCCCCTGAGGACACAGGTTTTCAGTGGTGTGTCCCACTGGGCTCTGCAGGTGCCGGGTGCCTCAAAATTCAAGCAGTCCAAGGAAGGGCCGGGTGTGGGGCTGTGCTGAAGCTAGGGCCCTGGTGCCAGAGGAGAAAACTGGGCGAGCTGCATTGTGGCCACGGGATCTGCAAGCCCCAAGATGTAGGCTTGGCAATTCAGGATAACTCAAGTAAGGAAGATGTATCATTAGAATACAGCTCATCTTTTAAACAGCTATTAAATGTCACCATAACTAAACAGGACAGGTACAAAACTGCCATCTCTTAAATCTTAGAGACTGAGGGCCTTCCTGAAAGGCACCTTTTACACAGACACAAATTATTAAGCATAACACATAGGATTTAAGAACAGGATGAAATGATAACGTCTTGCTAACACAGGAGTTCAGGCAGAAGATTTAATGGTCTCTTCTGCCCTTAGGATACCCTGGCTTGCCTGCTCTCGGGCTGGGGTTCATCGGGTCACCCCCAGGCTCTCTGGGGCCCCTTGTCAGGGCAGGGTGTGCAGGCTGCAGCCCCCGGGCTGCCCTCGCTGTGCAGGACACGGGCCTCAGACGCGGCCCTCGGCGGTGGCATTTGCCGTCATGTGCGAAGGGCCGCGTGGAATCGTCACCTTGCACGAGGCCACCCCTTGCCAAACCCAAGGCATGGATCTAAGGAAAGGTGGGTACGATGTGAACGCACTTACTGGTGCTCAAAACCATGACTTCCCTCAAGGAACGCGTTTGTGTAACTAAGTCTTCCTTCCTCCCACAGTTTAACCTGGGATAAAAGCACGATCGCTGTCTGAATGGGGAAGAAGTTCCTGCAGGAATTCCCCGCTAGCTCCCTCCAGCGCCGGCGGCGCTCAGGGGGCCGGGGCTGCCCCGCGAGCGGCTCTGCGCTCGCACGGAGGCGGGCAGGGGGCCGGGGAACGAGGCGCGCCCCGCGGGCAGGGCGGGAGCGGCGCCGCTGCCGGGAGCCGCTGCCGGGAGCCGCTGCCGGGCGCCCCGCGCTGCTGCCGGGCGCCCCGCGCTGCCCCCAGCGCCTCCCCCGCGCCGGGCGGCCCCTGGCACCCGCAGCCAACTACGAGCGGCTCCCCCAGCCCTGCGTTACGCAGCGCCCCCAGGAAGCG